ACAATGAATTCTTCCTTGAGATGATCGACGGGGTGCGGAATGCCCATGCCTCGTGGAAGCCGCCAAAGAGAGACGAGGCGAGGACGAAGAGACTGGACGGCCAGTATTCGCGTGCGCAGGCGAATGTGAAAGGCATGGCGAAGAAGTGGCAGGTGACTGGATGCATGATCCAGCTGGGCGGCTGGAGCGACCGGAGGAACAGACCGTATCTGAACGTGATGGTGTCTTCTCCGATTGGCACCGTCTTCTAGAAGTCCGTCTGCGTCGAGGGGCTGGACAAGGACGAGGCGGCCTACTTCAGAATCTTGGACGGTGTCATCAACGAAATCGGGCCGAAGTCGGTGGTGGGCGTTGTTATGGACAACGCCAGGGTATGCGTGAAGGCGGGGAAGATGGTGGAGGTTGTCTACCCGTGGATCTTCCGCGTTGGTTGCACGACACATGCGTTGGATTTGGCGTTGGAGGACATGAGCAAGCGCATCGGGTGGCTGAAGAGGGTGGTGGAAAACGGAAGCAATTTGGGATTCTTCACAAATGTCGACAAGGTTCGTGCCGTCTATCGGAATTTGGGGGCGACGGTGCAACTCAAGTGACCAGCGGTGACTCGCTTCGCAACACACTTCGAGATGTTGCAGTCGATAAAGGATGCGAAGCTCTCACTACAGCGGTGTGTGGTGGATCCTGTGTGGAAGGAGAAGTTGGTGAGGCCCGACCAAGTGGCRAACTTCTTGGACRTGACGGCCATCATTTTGGACACGACCAACTTATGGCCCTCCGTGGAGAAAGCTCATGTTGTGATGGAGCCCGTGGTGGAGCTGTTGCGTCTGTTTGACGGACCCAGCACGACAATCAGCAAGGTGAACTTCCGCATGGACAGCCTTGTGGAACGGATGTGAAACCTCGATTGTCTGACAGAGGATGAGCGAGGCGAGGTGGAGAGTATATTGATGGACCGGTGGGCTTTCCTCACTTCGCCTCTCCATTGTGCAGCAGCGTTCCTCGACCCTGAGTACCATTTACACAATCCCGGGCTGGAGGACAAGGAGATTCGGGACGGCTTCAACATATGGTTGTACGCATGGGCTGATCCGGGGTAGTGTGCGCCCCTTAGCCGCCAGGTGGACAAGTGGGTGCGACCGGAGAAACTCATTGGGTCCACGAACGCAATAGAGGAAGCCAAGGTCCAGAAACCGGCGTTGTGGTGGGAGGCTTTTGCGGGGTCATTGGACCTTCTCCAACCCCAAGCAATCAAATTGCTTGGGCAAGTGAGCTCCTCCGCGGCATGCGAGCAGAATTGGAGCTTGCACGACCTCAGCATGGGCAGGCGGCGCACGAGTGTCTTGCCACCAAGGCTCATGAAACTCGTGTACAATAGTTGGAATATCCATCTCTTCCGGAGGAACCGACGAGAGGGTTTCAAGGATGTCCACATCCCGTAGGAGAACGACGAGCCGTCGAAGGAGGAGGTGGAGGAGTGGTACAAGAGCTTCGAGGAGCAGATAGAAGCCGACCAGGTTGATCTGCCTGCAGATTTTGGTGTGGATGCAGAAGACGGCGAACAGTCGATGATACGACRGTGGTTGCAAAATGACTTGGACGACGACATGGCCGACAAAGAGGAGGAGATCATGCTTCTCGACAAGATGGAGTGCAAGTGGCCTACTTGCACAAAGYCGGGGAAGCATCGAGAGGAGCTGCGCCGGCTGTCTGGTCTTGTTGAGCCTGATCCGGTGGAAATGTTCACGGAGGAGGGCCGACTTCTCGCGATTAAGGCACGCCAAACGGGAGACTGGGTGGAAAGGGTGGAGGTGGTTGCCGCCACAGGCAGGCGCAAAAGAAAGAAGGACGAGCGCTCCGGCGGGGGGAAGGACGCCGACAAGACGGTGCATAAACGAAAGAGGGGGCGCCCAACAACACAAGAGGCGGCAGAACAGAAGGTGCGAGAGGCAGCAGCAAATGCAGCGGCGRCGAAAAAAGCCAGCAAAAAAAAAAAATCAGGCAAGGCGAAGTGCGGGGTCATTGAAGATGACGAAGACCCCCCCGAGACGGAGTCGGAGTCCGGGTCTGCACGACAGGTCGGATGGGGGGGTGGAGGGGATGGGTGACGAGGCGTCAAACGAACAGGATGGGGCGGTGGAGGGGGCAGGGGGGGAGGAGTCAAATGAAGAGGAAGTGGGGGCGGATGGTTATTGTGAGGATTAGGCTGTTCCATCCGTTTTCAGTCGTAGAACTGCGACATAGGCACGTCATAGAGAAAGACACAAACAGTGTTCGAAGTTCGAACTTTGAAGTCAAGTGTGCTGGTTTTCTGTTTTGTGTGTGCTGGTTGTCTGTGTTGTGAGTCCTAACTTGTAAGTCGATAAGTTGTCAGTTATAACTTTGTGAAAAGTTGATGCTAAGTTTATAGTACTTGATACTAACTTGGTGGTTGTTGCGCAAGTTGTAACTTTTCAGTAAGTTCTCACTCGCGTACGCTGCTCTGTTCTGTGTGCGAACGAATGGATACACAACTGCGTCATGCACTTCTCCCGCCATACTCAGGTGAGTCCGAGACAGACAAGCAGAATTTGAAAGTTCTGTTCTTTGCTGAAGTTTTGTTGTTTGCTTGCCTCATTGATGAAYGAGTGAGGGAGATAAATAAAAGTTATGCCCTGAACATAGGACTTTGCACGGCTTCAGAAAAAAAAAAAAAAAAAAAAACAGGGGTAGAATCGATTGTTGCATCTGCCCTGATTCCCCCTGAACATAAAGTCCCCACTTTGAACTTCACATTGCTTCCTCTACACCGAACCAAGCGGAAAAATAAAAAATAAAAAACATTGCAGCGCACTACCAACGCACATGCGCCAACCCAGCACACCCCAAGCGCACTGGCGCACAGCGCACCCTGACATAGCGCACCGCACCGCGCAACCCGCACATCGGACAGCACAGAGTGCGCCGCTGTGCATGCGCACTGGGGGTGTGCGCACAGCGCACAACGTCCCGCACCGCATTGCGCACCGCACAGGTGCGCCGCAGGACTCTTTCAGATTTGTAGAAATTTCGGAAGTGCTTCCCGTAGGAACAAGAGGTTGCCATGATTTATACAAAGCTGAAAACGGAAAGACAAAGCAAAACTATACTTGGGACTAACTTCTGACACTTGCTTGGTAAGTAGAATCAGCGATAGTCTGTACGACCTCTAGGTGAGACCGTAAGCTAACACTGATCCTAACTCCTAGTAGGGTTAGTCCTATCTTATTCCAAGCTTCCCTCCCATCATCCATCTTATCTGCCTATAGCTCCAACACTAGCCTATCTAAGAGATGCCCCAGAGTGAGAGCCCACAAGCATGCATAACCAATATCTCTCTCAATCCCACACCAATTTGAGCCAAGTAATTCGTTAAATCACTCAGTTATTCTCTCTTTTTATGTCCCCCTTACTTATGGCATATGGTCAGACAAGGCCCTAACCTAAAGGTATGTCTGACCTGCCTAGGTAAAACAAGTAAAGTACGCACAACTGGGTTGCCCTAACCTAAGGGTGTGCCCAACATAACATAGACTATATACATAAAGCATATGACCAGACCGCCCTAACCTAAGGGTACGTCTAGCTTTCGCTTAACTTACAACATAACGCATTGTACTAGGCTGCCATAACCTAAGGGTGTGTCCAGCCAACTTTAAACAAGGTTACATATGGCATAAAATTAGACTACCCCAACCTAGGGGTGTGCCTAATTTTGTCTGAAAACAAGTACGAATGACAGAAGTCGGACTGCCCCAACCTAAGGGTGTGTCCAACTCACATCACACCAACGACAAGGGCATATCGCTAGGCCGCCCTAACCTAAGGGTACGCCTAGTTAGCCATAACAGTATAAGATACATAAGGCAATGTGATCAGGCCGCCCTAACCTAAGGGTACGCCTGATCTGCTTAAACAAGTACAATGATATATGGCTAAGCCGCCCTAACCTAAGGGTACGCTTAGCCTCCGTAACAACAGTAAAATAGAAACATTCATTGATACACTTGCACAAATTTTATGTTTT